ATCATAAATAAATGAAAGGTAGCAGAAGACAAAATCTTATAACATCTGCCCCTTTTTTCTCAGATAAAATCAATCAAAAATAAACTTCAAATTTCAATAACAAAACAAAAACAAAAAAGAAAGAAAAAAGAAAAAAGAAGAAAAACATGAAAAGAAAGAACAATAAAGGTTTGACTCCATCTTGAACACAAATCATACGTTACATTGTTACATATTTCTGTAACAAACTTGCCTTTAACATTCTCTTAAAAAACATATATTGATCTGGCATTTTTAACTTCATCCACCAGATCATTCCACAATCTTATACCCTGGACTGAAGTACTCCGTTCCTTCAAAYTGGTTCTAAACTTACRTTTAACAAACATTTMTATCCCTTTGAGATTATAWCAACTTTCTCTTTTAGTAAAATGTAATTGGATGTTKGATGGTAAGGTGTTTTTAGGAGCCTGATACATAAGTGACAAAATACGTATAATCAAACAAATCATAGAACTTCAATAACTTCAACTGATGGAATAATGAATTTGTTGGGTGTCTGTAATTCTTTCTGGTAATAACCCTTAATATTATTATTTATTAAAAAAGTTATAGGATTATAGTTGCCCAATTCAAACTTTAAAGAGTTAACACAGATGGACTCATTGGTGTGTGAGTGTGTACATGATAAAAGTGCAACTTTATGTGTGTCCAAAATGATCCAGTCTGTCACGAAACCTGAATGCACACATTCAACTTCATCCTCACAGAGACTTTTACAGCGGAGACAGATTAGATCTCTTCTTGAAAGATGCACTGAGCTCCGTTTTGTGACAGGGAGGTGCAGTCTGCATGAGTGGGACGTTTCAGAAGCCTTGGTGGAAAAATAAATCAGCGGGAACCACTGAAGGGTAAAGCAAATGATGTTTGACTGCATGTGGAGGAGGTGAAGCAAACGGAATCGTCCCAGTTGCCTCCAAATTGAGAGGGGGTTGGGTATTATTGTACTGTATGTATTGCACTATCACCTAACTCGTGGTTGGAATAATTTTTTTTTTTTTTTTTTTT